TGTTGTTAAGATCAACTGAAATTCTGTAATCTCTGAAATATCACTTGAACAAATATGTTTTAAAATGTGCTGAAACTTTCCGGTTTTTAAGTTATTTGATGAAAGCGATAGTTTCAAAGTATTTGGATGTTCTTTGATATTTACACCATTAGAAATGAATTGTTGCTGCAGTGATGTTTTCGCATTTGCTGTGTAATTTTACAACTTTCCCATTGAAGTTGGTCAGAAACTTCTCAAAAAATGATCGAACATCCGTAATTTTTCTTTCCAATAATCCAGCGGTTTACTGGAAAGCTTTCCGATATCTCATGAATATATCTACTAAATTCTCCAACGAAAAACCAACCAAAATCGTTGAAGATTCAGTGTGTCATGATACCATTTCGTTACATCGTCCATGCCGCCAATCGGAAAATTCTCAACAACATGATCTAGTGTGGCAACTGGAATTTTTTCCCTGCAAATTACATTTTGAACATTTTATTTCACCTGCATGTTCAATTCCTTCACTGATTGATGTTTGATAATAGAGTGTTGTTCATTTCAATCAATCGCTAACACATCATCATGCAAACTTTCACTAGCGATCAGCCAGTAAGGTATTACAATAGCGAATTGAATGAAATCTTAAATTGGTCACGTTCTTATGGATGTTCGATATTTTCGCATCCTCTTCAATTCAAATTTGTTTCAAGAAACTCAGAAATAACAACCATTCAATGAGCGCCATAACTAAACTACAGAATATTCAGTGAAAAAGTCAACGTCTCAAGATAATTTCGTATCTTTAATCGGTAGATTCAGTTAAAATGTATTTGTATTCAGTTCAAAATGAGCGAATGTTTATGAATGAGATATAACCGAATGCAAACTTTACAGTTTCTCAGCTAAAAAATTATTTTTGTACGCGCAAAATCCAGGTAGGAATATGCCCTTGTAGTTGTGCGCTTCAATCAGTGTGTGACGCATATCACTTTGCTGAAAGTTAAGTCAACTTTTATTCGATTAAAAAACTTCAGATGGGCGATTGATGGTTTCCATTTCAATTCAATATTTTGTGAAGGATAGATAACTGATGCCTTTTTTGACAGGTCTAATTCCTCTGATCAACTACCCAAAATTGATTGATGCTTACCTAGCTTTAAAATATGACCAAAAATTGTTTTGAATAAGTTCCTGGCTCTAATTCGATATATCAATGAAGCTGAAGAATCTTATGTGAATAATAACTTACTGCTGTTGCAACAGTCGCTATCTCAACGGAACCGAATTTGTCGCTTAAAGTTCTAGCATCACTCAATAAATATCCTCCATTCTTCAGTATACACTGAAAATATTTTCGCTTGATTGTCAGTGAGCAATGCTACACCAAAAAATAGCTTAATCTTTCACTGTACACATTTGAATAAGATAATTTGTTGATTGTTGACAAATCTTCCAGCTAACTTGAATCAAATGAACTGAGAAAAAGCTATGGATCGTTGAACTGAGAAGAAGATTTGATTTCAAAGAAACAAGCGCATATCACATACTTGGAGAGTTGAGTTGAGATCATTGACTTTGAACGCTACATCCTTAACGTTGTCACCGTGTTTGATCAAAAAAGAAGCGTAATCTTCGTTCTCATCATTGCTTGAGGTGAACATAAACCTGGCCTTAAGCAAACCCAACATCGCACATGATTCAACGAAATAGCACGAGGTGGTGAATTAATATGGAATGCAGAATACAAGCGATGAATACAAGCATTGA